AAAAAAAAAAAAAAAAAAAAAAAAAAGGTACCATATGGTGTTACTTAGGGGAAATAAAAGGCAGGGTTGAATCTTCTAGTACTGGTGGTGATATTCTGCCAGAAGTCACGATTAAAGCATCTGCACTTCCACACCCCCACTGATCACCACCCCTATGTCTAGGTTGAAAGATTCCTAATGGTAGGTAGTACCATTAAAAACCCTAAAAAATTATGACTTGCTTCACCCTTTGGTCTTAATACTAATTTTGAAGGATAATAAACAGAAGCCAAGACAACCTGTAAAATACAATGACCCAAACGAGATGTCAGAGCGGATATGTGAACAAGTAATTTACAAGTAAGAGACTGTATCTATTTTCAGACAAATTCCAACTCTCCATTTAAAGAAGTTCACTAAGAAAACATTCAGACCAAGCACAGTAATTCACTGTGGAAGGCCAAGGTGGGAGGACTGCTTAATACCAGGAATTCATGACCAACCTGAGCAACATAGCAAGACCCCATCTCCACAAAATATAAAAAATTAGCCATATGTGGTGGCATGTGACTGCAGTCCTAGCTACTCAGGAGACTGAGGTGCAAAGAGTGCTTGAACCCATGAGTTCAAAGTTACAGTGAGCTATGATTGTACCCAGGCACTCCAGCTTGTCCACAGAGCAAGATCGTATCTGTAAAAGATAAATGAATAAGTCGATAAATAATTTTAAAAAGAAAATATTAATGGGCAAGGTGGCTCACATCTATAATCTCAGCACTTTGGGAGGCTGAGGTAGGGAGATCACGAGGTCAGGAGTTCAAGACCAGCCTGGCCAATATAGTGAAACTCCATCTCTACTAAAAATACAAAAATTAGCCAGGCATGGTGGCACGCACCTGTGGTTCCAGGTACTCGGAAAGCTGAGGCAGGAGAATCACTTGAACCTAGGAAGTGGAGGTTGCAGTGAGCCAAAATTGCACCACTGCAATCCAGTCTGACAGAAAAAGTCAGATTGAGAAGGTATCTTTTTCTTGTACACCCTTTTACATATTTTCTTTTTATTTTTGGTGGGGAGCGCGGGGGGGCACAGTTTTGCTCTTGTCACTCAACTGGAGTGCAATGGCACGATCTTGGCTTACTGCAACTTCCACCTCCTGGGTTCAAGGGATTCTCCTGCCTCAGCCTCCTAAGTAGCTGAGATTATAGGCACCTGCTATGGTGCCTGGCCTTTTTTTGTTTTGTTTTGGAGATGGAGTTTCACTCTTGTTGCCTACAGTGGAGTGTAATGGTGCAATCTTGGCTCACCACAACCTCTGCCTCCTGGGTTCCAAGTTCAGGAGATTCTCCTGTCTCAGCCTCCCAAGCAGCTGGGATTATAGGCATATGCCACCATGCCCAGCTAAATCTGTATTTTTAGTAAAGACGGGGTTTCTCCATGTTGGTCGGACTGGTCTCAAACTTCTGACCTCAGGTGATCCTCCCACCTCGGCCTCCTAAAGTGCTGGGATTGCAGGTGTGAGATACCACGCATGGCCAATTTTTGTATTTTTAGTAGAGACAGGGTTTTGCCACGTTGGCCAGGCTGGTTTTAAATTCTGACCTCAGGTGATCCACCCACCTTGGCCTCCCAAAGTGCTGGGATTATACACATGAGCCACCATGCCCAGCCTCTTTTACATATTTTCAATTTTGAATCATATACATTGCCTATTCAAAAGTACATAAACTTTAAATTGGAAAAAAAGTTCTCTAATTTATGGTAGCAACATAATGTAAAGAGCTACAGTAATGCTAGGGCCCAATACAGACAGGGTTTTGCCATGTTGGCCAGGCTAGTCTCCAACTCCTGACTTCAGGTGATCCATCTGCCTCAGACTCCCAAAGTGCTGGGATTACAGGCTTGAGCCACCGCGCCCGGCCTAGGAGAAAGATTTTGACATCAAGGAAGCATTATAAGACCAGGTGCAGTGGCCCGTATCTGTAACCCCAAAAGTCTGGGAGGCTGAGGTGAGTGGATTGCTTGGGCCCAGGAGTTTGAGACCTGCCTGGTCAACATGGTGAAATCACGTATCTACAAAAAATACAAAAAATTAGCCAGGCATGGCAGTACGTGCCTGTGGTCCCAGCTACTCACGAGGCTGTGGTGGGAGGATCACTTGAGCCCAAGAGGTAGAGGTTATAGTGAGCTGAGATCGAACCACTGCACTCCAGCCTGAGTGAAAGCACGAGACCATCTCAAAAACATTAACAAACACAAAAACTCACTTTTGCTCTTAAAAGTATCCACTGCAGCCGGGCGCGGTGGCTTACACCTGTAATCCTAGCATTTTGGGAGGCTGAGGTCAGGAGTTCAAGACCAGCCTGACCAATATGTTGGGGAAAAAAAAAAAAAGTATCCACTGCAGGCTGGGTATCGTGGTTCACGCCTGTAATCCCAGCACTTTAGTAGGCTGAGGCACGAGGATCAGATGAAGTCAGGAGTTTGAGACCTGCCTGGCCAACATGGTGAAAGCCTGTCTCTACTAAAAATATAAAAATTAGCCAGGCATGGTGGCACGGGCCTGTAATCCCAGTCACTTCACTTGGGAGTCTGGGGCAGGAGAATCACTGGGACCCAGGAGGCAAAGGTTGCAGTGACCTGAGATCACATCACTGTACTCCAGCTTGGGTGACAGAAAAAGATTCTGTCTCAAAAAAAAAAAAAAAAAAAAGTATCCACTGCATAAAATAGAAATCCATGAATCTAAACTGATATGTCTATGTGTATATATATTCAGATATATAATTGAGTAAATAAATGGGGGAGAAGGAAATCTCTTTCTGGCAGCAATGTGTCAACTATAATAAATGCAGAAGGATGACAGAAAATCAACATTTGTCAACCATCATGGTGGTGGCTGACTCAGGAAACAGTTGTCAATGGATATTAAGCCCGGTAGGTGAAGGTCTGATATGAACAGGATATTGACATAATCTCAGAATCCATCTCTCCTCACAGGGCACTGGCCTGTCACAAGGGAAGAAAACAAGGACTCTGTGCTAGAGATTCTTAGAGGACACCAATATATCTGGATGATCAGGGTTATCACCACCAGAAGTAAGACAGTATAGCCATGCACCTCCTTATGCGGTGCACTGTAGAGAGTCCAGCCTAATTTCTGTGGTCTTACTGCCAAAAATGTATGGGCTGGTTGTGATGATAGAGACACAACTCTGTGAACAGACTTGGCACTTAACAAGGATGAGTGGCATGGTATGCAAATTGTATCTCAAAACAGTGGTGTTTATAAAAGTCTCTGACCTGAGTCTGATCATAAAAAAACAGCCTGAGGCCAGGCGCGGTGGCTCAAGCCTGTAATCCCAGCATTTTGGGAGGCCGAGGCGGGTGGATCACGAGGTCAAGAGATCGAGACCATCCTGGTCAACATGGTGAAACCCCGTCTCTACTAAAAATACAAAAAAATTAGCTGGGCATGGTGGTGCGTGCCTGTAATCCCAGCTACTCAGGAGGCTGAGGCAGGAGAATTGCCTGAACCCAGGAGGCGGAGGTTGCGGTGAGCCGAGATCGCGCCATTGCACTCCAGCCTGGGTAACATGAGTGAAACTCTGTCTCAAAAAAAAAAACAAAAAAAAAACAAAAAAAAAAAACAAAAAAAAAAAAACCAGCCTGGGTAGCCGGGTGCCAAGGCTCATGCCTGTAATCCCAGCACTTTGGGAGGCTAATGCAGGTGGATCACGAGGTCAGGAGTTCGAGACTAGCCTGACCAACACGGTGAAACTCCATCTCTACTAAAACTACAAAAATTAGCTGGGTGTGGTAGCACGCGCCTGTAATCCCAGCTACTCAGGAGACTGAGGCAGGAGAATTGCTTGAACCCAGGAGGTGGAGGTTGCAGTGAACCAAGATCATGCCACTGCATTCCAGCCTGGATGACAGAGCAAAACTCTGTCTCAAAAAAGAAAAAAAAAGAAAGCCTGGGCAACACAGGGAGAACTCATCTCTATGGAAAAATAAAAAAAAATACAAAAAAAAAATTAGCCAATTAGTCAGATGTGGTGGTGCATGCCATCAGTCCCAGCTATTTGGGAGGCTATGGCAGGAGGATTGCTTGAACCTATGAAGTCAAGGCTGCAGTCAGCTATTATAGCGTGATTGCACTCCAGCGTGAGTGACAGAGCAAGATCCCATCTCAAATAAAAAAAAAAAAAAGGAAAAAGAAAACAACATTAACTAAATACAGGTTGAGAATTACCACAGTGAAAGGCCTATATTCTTTTTTTTTTGAGAAAGGATCTCACTCTGTTGCCCAGGCTGAAGTGCAGTGGCACGATCTCCAATCACTGCAACCTCCGCCTCCTGAGTAGCTGGGACTACAGGCATGTGCCACCATGCATAACTAAGTTTTATATTTTTAGTAAAGACGGGGTTTCACCATGTTGGCCTGGCTGGTCTCAAATTCCTGACCTCAGGTGATCCACCCTCTTCGGCCTCCCAGAGTGCTGGGATTACAGGTGCGAGCCACCACGCACGGCCAATATTGTTGTATGAATCTAATACTACTTGTGTAGTGGTATGATATTAATTTATGATGGATTATAAGAATCTATTCTGTAATCTCTGCAACTATTACAAATATAAAAGGATTTAGCTTACAAGCCAAAAGAGCAGAAAACATTTGACCTAAAAAAGGCAAGCACACAGAAATAAAGCCTACAGAGCATATTTCTTTTGGAGAAGGAGAACAATATTAAGAACCTAGCAATTAAGTGAACACAAGCAGTTGTCTACTTTGCTTAAATAACAATCTACATTATTTACAAATGCAAATTTTTGTCAAAGTCTAAAATGTTGCTGGGTACAGTGGGTCACGCCTATAGTCCCAGCACTTTGAGAGGTCAAACTGGGAGGACTGCTCGAGACTAGGAGTTCAAGCTCAGCCCGGGTAAGAAAGTGAGATCCTGTCTACCAAAACAAAAAAGGACAAAAAAAGGAAATTTGCCACCTCTCTCAAAATCAGAGAACATGAGCATTATTAGTCATCTTAAAAAAGTGCAGGAGATTCCACCTTGATCCTTCTCATGCTACTTAGGAAAATTTAGATTAGCTTCTGGTAGGGCAGTATCTCTGAAAGGAGGGGAGGGAACGAGGGAATCTTATCATTAGTGCAGCATGGCCAGTCATGACCAAATGCAGTCTGATCCTTACCTGCCCTGCTCCAAAAGGACAATATCCTTCCACCCCATTTTGGAGAGGTGATAGGCCACGGATGTGCCCATGATTCCACCCCCACAGATGACCACCTGTGCCTGGGTGGGCAGGGCCACGGAACGTGCCTCGGCAGCTGACGTGCTGCTTCTTGCAGAGGACCAGTTCTGCCATCCTGGGCTGGTTCTTTGTCTTCCAACAACTGACAGCAACCGGCAGAACATCACTTCTCTCAGCAACTAGCAGATCTCAGGAATTCAAACTAGACAGAGAAACCAAACATATTTCAGGCCATTCAACTCAGTGTTCGAGACTAATGAGAAAAGGATTTGACAAAGAACAGTAGTCATTCATTCAACAAATATATGAGGGCATACTGAGTTTCATTCTGCTAGCAGTGAACAAGAATGGGGAAGTCCCTATCTTTACGAAATTGACATTTGAGAGTTTGCATATGTGAACAAGGAGAGGGTCAATCACACAAGTAAATAAAACTGATGTGATAGAATAACTAGGGGCATATTTAAAATGGAATGGTCAGGAACAGCCTCCAAGAAACTGACATTTAAAAACAGACCTGAAGGATAGGGAACCAGTTACACATGTGCAAAGGCCTTGAGGTAAGACTGACCAAGAACAAAAAGGAGGTCAGCATGTACACAACATGGGGCACAAGGGACAAAATCTAAGACAACACTGGAGAGGCAGGCAGAAATCAATCACACAGAGTCCTTGGTTGCCATCAACAGGAGCTGGAATTTTATTCTAAGTACAAAGGAGAATCACTAACACAGGGGAATGAAATGATCGGGGATGTTCTTCGTTTTTTTTTTGGTGGGAGTGGGGGAGGGATTTTTTTTTTTAAAGGTCAGTCTGGCTCCATGGTGGAGAGTGGATGGTAGAATTACAAGAAAAACAGAGTTGACCTCCTGGGCTCAAGTGGCCCTCCCACCTGGGTCTCCCAAAGCGTTGAGGTTATAGGCGTCAACCTCTGCACTTGGCCAAGGCAGGGTTTTAACAAACTTACTCTAACAGCAAAACAGATGACTATTCAAGTTTCAAGAAACTGAATAAAGAAAGACCTACTGGCTGTCCATGCAGTCATTTGTACAGGAAGATGAGGACTCTGAGATGAGAGGTGGCAGACCGGGGGGCCTCAGGGCAGCTCACTGCTAGTCATCTCACCGCCTCCACTGCCAGCCACAGGACCCACAGATGCTCCCCAATCAATCCAAATTGTCTAAGGCCAAGGTCTCTCAGAGGACTCTCAGGATTGCAACCAATGCAAACATAGACTGTGTCCAGGCAGATATCCCGTCCAACTGGAGACAAATAATCTTGGCCAACTTGTGGTTGCTACCATGCCTCTCATCCCTCGTCCCTGTTAAGCTCTGTCTCAAGATAAAGCCTTCTCTACCCGGCTAGTCTTTCCATAATCTCATCTCCACATGACCAATTTATTTCCCTCACCCAAGCTCTCTTTGCTTTCCTCCCGCTCAAGCCCCTCTACTGCACCCTCTAGAATACCTTTCCCAAAGGTAAACCACCACCCCTTTGCTGACATTCTCTCTACCCTCTGTCCCAACGGCAATGCAGCTTTCCTGGGGAACTGCCGCTGCCAAATGGCAAACCCTGTCCCATTGACTTTGCTGTCATCCTCCTGGCTTCTGACCCGTTACCACTTGGTTATACTTGAAAACTGCCCTGCTCCTTGGTGGCTTAGGCTAACACATGGTAAGCCACAGGCAGACCTCTGCTTGTACTGTTTCCAAACCCAGCTGCTCCTCTCTCAGCCTTCAGTCTCATCTTCTTTCTTCCCTCATTCTAAGCAGAAAGCCTGTCTCATCTCATTCCCTGAAACCCTTTCCACAGACCCACTTGCATCTGCAATCATCTGTTCCTTCCTTTATAAAACAGAATGTTAATCTCCCCAAGTGCCCTGGATCCCACTTCCTCCTATTCTCTTGCCCCTAGCTCCATCAACTGCTGTCTCTCTTTCATGGACCTGCAATGTTTCCCTCCCTTTTTGTTTCTTTTCCTCTGCATTTAAAAAAAAAATTTTTTTTTTTTTGAGATGGAGTCTCACTCTGTTGCCCAGACTGGAGTGCAATGGCACAATCCTGGCTCACTGCGATGTCCGCTCCCAGGTTCAAGCAATTAACCTGCCTCAGCCTCGAGTAGCTGGGATTACAGGTGTGCGCCACCACACCCAGCTAATTTTTGTGTTTTTAGAGATGGGGTTTCACCACGTTGATCAGGCTGGTCTCAAACTCCTGACCTCAGGAGATCCACTCACCTCGAGCATCCCAAAGTGCTGGGATTACAGGCGTGAGCCACCAAGCCTGGCCTCAGTGACTGTCTGATGCCCTCAGGAAAAAGGCAAAATTCTTTTACTATCAATTGCAACATCCTTCACAATCTGGTTCTTATCTGTGGTCTCACTTCTCCTCTCCTCTGATCAAGCCAGACTGAACAACCTGTAATCCCTCAAAGGTATCAGGTAAGGCGTGAATGTTCTATTCAGCTCTGGGTTCTGTGCATGCTGTTCCCTCCTGGCATGGTTCCTGCCACCCCTCCCCCAAATACAGGTAATCTCCTCAGGTTGCAGCCTCTTTGACATCTTATCTGACACACTCACTCTCCTACCCCAACACTTGGTTAGGCGACTCTTCTATGCTTTCCTATAACAAACTGCACTTCTCCCAGGACAGAATTTACCACGCTGCACAATGGTCTGTCTGCCAATCAGAGAAGCAACACGCCAACACAGCAGGGAATCCAGGCTTTGTGTGTGGAGAGGACTGGGTCTGAAAACATTCCCCACCTCTCACCAGCTGTATGACTTTCAGCAAGTTACTAAATCTCTATTGTTTGAGGTTCTTTTTTTTTTGAGATGGAGTCTTGCTCTGTCACCAGGCTGGAGTGCAGTGTGAGATCTCAGCTCACTGCAACCTCCACCTCCCGGGTTCAAGTGATTCCCCTACCTCAGCCTCCCGAGTAGCTGGGACTACAGGTGCACGCCACCATGATCGGCTAATTTTTGTATGTTTTAAGTAGAGACGGGGTTTCACCATGTTTGCCAGGCTGGTCTTGAATTCTTGAGCTTGTTATCCACCTACTTCGGCCTCCCAAAGTGCTGGAATTATAGGTGTGAGCCACTGCACCCAGCCTGAGGTCCTCACCTGTAACATGGGCTAGGAACACCTACCTCACATGGTTGCCGCAAAGACTAAATCAGATAATGCAGGAAGAACATGGTACAGGCACCTAAGAAGCACTCAGTGAGTGGTAGTTATTCTTTATTTTATTTTTTGAGATGGAGTCTTGTTCTGTCGCCAGACTGGAGTGCAGTGGCACGATCTTGGCTCACTGCAACCTCCATCTCCTGGGTTGAACCAATTCCGCTGCCTCAGCCTCCTGAGTAGCTGGGACTACAGGCACATGCCACCTCATCTGGCATTATTTTTTTGTATTTTAGTAGAGACATGGTTTCACCATGGCCAGGATGGTCTCGATCTCCTGACCTCATGATTTGCCCACCTTGGCCTCCCAAAGGGCTGGGATTGTAAGCATGAGCCACCACACCCTGCCTGTTTATTACTTTTTAAGATGAGGTCTCACTCTGTCACCCAGGCTGGAGTGCAGTGCCATGATCATGGAACACTGCAGTCTCAACCACCCAGGCTCAAACGATCCTCCCACCTCAGCCTCCAGAATAACTGGGACCACAGGTGTGCACCACCACGCCCAGCTAATTTTTAAATTATGAATATTCGTAGAGATGAGGGACTCACTTCCTTGCCCAGGTGGATCTTAAGCTCCTGACCTCAAGTGATCTGCCCACCTTGGCCTCCCAAAGTGCTGGAATTACAGGTATGAGCTACCACGCCTGACCTATTATTTTCCTATTATAATGGAACTAAGAGTAGAAACCTTTTAAATTGCTCAATTTTCCTAGCATTCCACACAGGAACCTAGGAAATATTCTCTGTTCATGAATGAGAACAGAGAACAAAGAAGATGGGGGAAAAACATCAACGATCACTCAGAGATCTCAAAGGTAGGCCCCCAGATTTGAGGGAATATCTAAATACCTGAGAGAATTATTTTTATTTTTGTTTATTTCTTTTGAGACAGTCTCTCGCTCTGCAGCCCAGACTGGAGTGCAGTGGCATGATCTCGGCTCACTGCAACCTCTACCTCCCCGGTTCAAGCGAGTCTCCTGCCTCAGGCTCCCAAGTAGCTGGAATTACAGGCATGTGCCCACCATGCCCAACTAATTTTTTTGTATTTTTAGTTGAGACAGGGTTTCACCATGCTGGCCTGGCTGGTCTTGAACTCCTCACCTCAGGTGATCCACCCACTTCGGCCTCCCCAAAGTGCTTACAGGCATGAGCCACCATGTCCAGCCATTTGTAAAGCTAATATTTTAAAAAGGAGTTACAATGCACCACATACTGCCTATGTACATGACTAATTTAATCTTCACAACCCTGTGCGGGAGACACTACCCTTTCTATCCTACACTTGAAGAAACAGTCACAGGTAAGAGGAAGTGGCTCACCCAAGGTCCTACCAAACTGTTGGGTAGCAGAACTCTGCCAATCTGGCACTAGCAGCCTGTTATTTAATCATGACTCCATGCTACCTTCCAAATAAAAGCAGATGGTAAGGAAAGGACAGCTGTGAGGACTGAAGCATTAGGGACATCCCCCTAACAGGAAAAAGAGAACTGCAAAGGTGGCAGAAGAAACACAGTAACAGATGAGTTTTAAGATGGAATTTTTAAAAACTTTAGGTCAAGTGCGGTGGCTCATATCTGTAATCCCAGTATTTTGGGAGGCCGAGATGGGTGGATCACTTGAGGTCAGCAGTTCAAGACCAGCCTGGCCAACATGGCAAAATCCTTTCTCTACTAAAAACACAAATACTAGCTGGGCATGGTGGCATGTGCCTGTAATCTCAGCTACTCAGGAGGCTGAGATGGGAGAATCACTGGAGCCTGGGAGGCAGAGGTTGCAGTGAGCAGAGATCACGCCAGTGCACTCAACCCTAGGCAACAGAGCAAGAGTCTGTCTTAAAAAAAAACAAACAAACAACAAAAAAAAAAAACAACACTTTAAAATCCCACGGTGGGCCAGCTGGTGTCTCATGCCTGCAATCCTAGATCCTAGTGCTTTTAGAAGCCAAGGTGGGAGGACCACTTGAGCCCAGTAGCCAGCAACATGGCAATATCCTCTCTGTAGGATTATAGGCACAAAAATTAAAAAAGAAAAAAATCAGCTGGGTGTGGTGGTACGTGCCTGTAGTTCCAGCTACTCAGAAGGCTGAGGCAGGAAGGCAACTTGAGTCCAGAAGGCAGAGGCTGCAGTGAGACATGATTGCACCACCACACTTCAGCTTGGGTGACAGGGTGAGACCCTGTCTCAACAAACAAAAATAAACATTTTTTTAAAAAGCCCAGGGTACAAGGTGGCTCACATCTATAATCCCAGCACTTTGGGAGGCTGAGGCAGATGGATCGCCTGAGCTCAAAAGTTTGTGAGCAGCCTGGAGACATATGATGAACCCCATCTTTACCAAAAATACAAAGATTTAGCTGGGTATGGTGGCATGCACCTGTGGTTTCAGCTACTCAGGAGGCTGAGGTAGGAGGATCACTTGAGCCTGGGAGGCAGAGATTACAGTGAGCCGAGATTATGCTACTGCACTCCTGCTTGGGTGACAAGAGTTAGAATCAGCCTTTAAAAAAAAAACAAAAAAAAAAAACAGCTACTCAGGAGGCTGAGGCAGGAGAATTGCCTGAACCCAGGAGGCAGAGGTTGTGGTGAGCCGAGATCGCGCCATTGCACTCCTGCCTGGGTAACATGAGTGAAACTCCGTCTCAAAAACAAACAAACAAACAAACAAACAAACAAACGGCCAGGTGCAATGGCTCACACCTGTAATCCCAGCACTTTGGAAGGCCAAGGCAGGTGAATTACCTGAGGTCGGGAGTTCAAGACCAGCCTGGGCAATATGGTGAAATCCAGTCTCTACTAAAAACACAAACGTCAGCCAGGCTTGGTGGCTTGTGCCGGTAGTCCCAGCTACTCATGAGGCTGAGACAGGAGAATTGCTTCAACCCAGGAGGTGGAGGTTGCAGTGAGCTGAGTCACACCATTGCATTCCAGCCTAGGCAACAGAGCCAGACTCTATCTCAAAAAAAAAAAAAAAAAAAAAAAAAAGGAAAGAAAGAAAAAAGAAAAGAAAAAAATCCCAGGATGCTAGGCACCAAAAAAGAATTTCTGACATCGTGTTCATTATGACCTTCACAAGAGTGAAGTGGTGACGACGGCATGAGGGCAGAGGAAAAGTAGGGCTTAAGATAAACGAAGGAAATTAAGGCACCAGGGTCTAGCGCCTTTGTTGCCAAACATAAGCCTAGTAGGGCTGGCAGCAAAACCAAAGCAAAGCTTGACAGCAAAGGAGGTAAAGATAGGAGAGAAGAAACTGAAGATGTCAAAGACAGAAATAAAGCACATCATCTGCTTTAAAACAAATATTTTTTAAAAGTTCTGGAAAATGACGTTATAATATTCTCTGCTAAGAAGAATAAATTCTGCTAAACAACCATAAGACTAGGGCTGGCTCTACTCAGACCTGCTTATTCCAACAAGATCAAGGTGCTAGCTCTAACTTCCAGTTGCCCCTCTGTATGGCTTCAGCATTGTGCACAGTGGACTGACGGTTACAAGGAAGACTGGATGAACATGAGTGGGCTCACACAAAGTTTCCCACACTTGCCTCAGCAAAAGAACCACCTGGGACACTTGTTTAAAAATGACAGACTCCAGAGGGTGCAGTGGCTTACACCTGTAGTCCCAGCACTTTGGGAGACTAAGGTGGCCCGATCACAAGGTCAGGAGTTAGAGACCAGCCGGGCCAATATGGTGAAACCCTGTCTCTATTAAAAATAGAAAAATTGGCCGGGCGCGGTGGCTCAAGCCTGTAATCCCAGCACTTTGGGAGGCAGAGGCGGGTGGATCACGAGGTCAAAAGATCGAGACCATCCTGGTCAACATGGTGAAACCCCGTCTCTACTAAAAATACAAAAAATTAGCTGGGCATGGTGGTGCGTGCCTGTAATCCCAACTACTCAGGAGGCTGAGGCAGGAGAATTGCCTGAACCCAGGAGGCGGAGGTTGCGGTGAGCCGAGATCGCGCCATTGCACTCCAGCCTTGGTAACATGAGTGAAACTCTGTCTCAAAAAAAAAAAAAAAAAAAAAAAAAAAAATAGAAAAATTAGCCGGGCGTGGGGGCGGGTATCTGTAGTCCCAGCTTCTCGGGAGGCGGAGGCAGAAGAATTCTTGAACCTGGGAGGCGGAGGTTGTAGTGAGCTGAGATCATGCCACTGCACTCCAGCCTGGAGACAGAGTGAGACTCTACACTCCAGCATGGGCAACAGAGCGAGAATCCGTCTCAAAAACAAACAAACAAACAAAAAAAACCACGACGAATTCCCAGGGTCCATCTCTGCGGATTCTAATCCTGCCACTCCAGGGAGCTGTATTTTTCAACAAGTGAACCAGATGATCACGCGAGTTTAAGAAATTAACACAAGTGGCCGGGTGCGATGGCTCATGCCTGTAATCCCACCACTTTGGGAGGCCAAGGAGGGCAGATCACGAGGCCAAGAGATCAAGACCATCCTGGCCACTATAGTGAAACCTCGTCTCTACTAAATACAAAAATTCGCTGGGTGTGGTGGTGCGCGCCTGTAGTCCCAGCCACTCGGGAGGCTGCAGCAGGAGAATTGCTTGAATTCGGGAGGCAGAGGTTGCAGTGAGACGAGATGGCGCCATTGCACTCCAACCTGGCGCGAGGCGACAGAGCAAGACTCTGTCTCAAAAAAATAAAAGAAAAAGAGGAGGAGGAAGAGGAGGAAGAAGAAAGAAGAAAAAAAGAAGAAATAATTAACACAAGTCCCTGTCACTGGAAAGGCACACCCGTAGGGCTGGCTCCTCCTCCACCCACCCCCCTCATTCCCGTACATTATGTTTACATGCACGTGAGAAATGGGCTTGGAGAATCTTGATTCAAATCCTAGTATCACACATCGGCCCCCAAAGGTCAAACATTAACAAGGAAGCTCACTGCCCTGGCCCAGACTTTTCTAGGTGACTTCTTCCTCCCGACTCTGCAGCAGTCTTACTAGTTATGAAGCACAAGCGGACCGCACGTCTCAACGCGGGAAAACAGTTCCACCTGCAGGGACGTAGGACCGGGTTGAACGAGCTGGAGTTGCGCCGCAGGGGTGTGCAACCCCGTGAAGGGGGAGCCCGAGGCGCAGTCACCTCCGCCACCCTGGCATCCGGGCTGAGATGGCAGGTGCCTGGAGGAGCGGTGCGCAGGCCCTGGGTAAGCCGAGGACACGAGCCAAGGCACGAACAGACAACCTTCCGGGCAACGAGTCCTGGCGCCTGGACGCGCCTTCGTGAGAGGCCAGGGGGAACCGACTGGAAGCGGGGGCTAGCGGAGACCACCCCCGGGCAAAACCAAAGGAGAAAGAGGGGAACCTGGGGGTCCCGGGGCGCTCAGGCACGCGCAGACGGGGAAACCAGAGTCGCCCCGCAGCTGTCTCCTTACCTCACTGGCCCCCACGGGCTCCGCGCTTAGCAACAGCCCGGCGGGAGCTAGGCGCCAGCCACAACGGTTGCCGGGAGTCGCCTCGGGCCGGAAAGCGGAGATCAAGGTTGGGAAAGGGGCGGGGCGAATTGAGCAAAAAGTTCCGGGGAAGCCGAGACCGCGACCTTCCGCGCTTTACGGCCCGCGGGCAAGGGTACGGCCAGCGCGTGACCTCAGCCGCGCACGAGCGCGCCGTGACGTCACATCGGAGCCCCGCTCTTGCCACGTGGGCTTGTTTGGGTCTCGCGAGGCACCGCCCCCGGGGCCTCTTTGCCCTCCTCAGAGGCGGGTTGTGGAGGCCTTGAACTCCGAGGGCTGTTTTAGAACCCGGGCCTCGGACCTGCGTGGTTTCTGCACGTGGAAGCGGAACGTCTGAGATGGCCGCAAGCCCCGTGGAGTGTGGGGGGCGCGGGGGTTCTTTCTTCCCTCCAGGCCTGTGCCAAGGCTTGTCCCACACCCAGTGGGTCCGCGTCCTAAGCCACATCCAGTCCGAGGGGAAAAGACTTCCCATTTCCCTGGGGAGCGCTGCTCTGGGAAGTGGTTCAGGGCTTTCTTGGGCAAGGCTCTCGCGGAGCAGATCGGAAATCCATTCTGATGGTCACCCCCCACCTCGGAGGCCAGACTAGCGGACCGGACTTCCCAGCCCTATCTTAATCCTCACAGCTTCTCAGCTTGGCTCAGCTCAGAGAAAGAGGAATCATTCACTCAAACCTCAGAGAAGATTCCACCTACCCCTTCCTCACCATCACATCAGCCTTTTCTTTTTCTTTTTTGAGACGGAGTTTTGCTCTTGTTGCCCATGCTGGAGTGCAGTGGCGAGATCTCGGCTCACTGCAATCTCTGCCTCCTAGGTTAAGAGATCCTCCTGCCTCAGCTTCTCGAGTAGCTGGGATTACAGGCATGCGCCGCCACGCTCGGCTACTTTTGTATTTTTAGTAGCGACGGGGATTCTCCATGTTGGTCAGGCTGGGCTCGAACTCCCAACCTCAGGTGATCTGCCCGCCTCGGCTTCCCAAAGTGCTGGGATTACAGGTGCGAGCCACCGTGCCCGGCCCACATCAGCCTTCTTTCCTTCCAGAACTCATCACTATCTCAAAAATATAAGTTTGTTGACTGCCTTTACCACTGGTGTTACACAGTCTCTGTCGACAGAACCTTAGTCTTATGTACAGCTATCTTCTCAGCACCCAGAACAGTGCCTGGCACGACAGCCACTAAATACTATATGGATAAGGGTCTCATGGTGCAGCCACCATTGCATCTTGGACCCCCACTATCCAGGTCCCGTTTGTTGGATTCAATACTGTCTCACCGCACAGCCAATCTTGTGTTTTATTAATTTTTTTCTTTTTGAGATGGAGTCTCCCTCTGTTGTCCAGGCTGGAGTGCAGTGGCATGATTTTGGCTCACTGCAACCTCTGCCTCCTGGGTTCAAGCGATTCTCTTGCCTCAGCCTCCCGAGTAGCTGGGACTAGAAGCGCATGCCACCACACCCGGCTAATTTTTTGTATTTTTAGTAGAGATGGGCTTTCACCATGTTAGCCAGGATGGTCTCGATCTCCTGACCTTGTGATCCACTTGACTCGGCTTCCCAAAGTTCTGGATTTACAGGCGTGAGCCACTGGCACCTGGCTGTTTTATTAATTTTTTTAAATAATTTTTTTTTTAGAGATGGGATCTCACTATGTTGCCCAGGCAAGTCCTGAACTCCTGCCCTCAAGTGATCCATATCAACCTCCCAAAGTGCTGGGATTACAGATGTGAGCCACTTTGCCTGCCCCAATCTTGTGTTTTTTTGCAGGTCACCTATGTTTTATTGCGGGGCACTGGGCATGATGATGGGATCCAGCAGTGTGGAAGAAAGAGGGGGTTTCTGCTCTTAGGGAGTGGCAGTCAAGTTCCAGGGACCCCTCTGTCACCAGACCAGGCCACAGCCTACCTAGTTTATATCCCACTTGCCAGTCAACTCACACAAAGACAGCCCAGATGAGGTCTGACTGCCAAAGGACTGAAACTATGCGATAGGCTCCTGTACTAGATACTTTTATATTTTAGCTAAGATTTAATCTTGGGGACACCTACCTGCCTAATAAAAGAGAAAAGGCTGACTGATTTGAGGCATTCTCTGGGAAGGATTTCCTGATGCCCAGATGTGGCAATTTCATGTAAAATATCATAGGTTTTCTTCATGAACCATTTAATTCAAGCCATTTCCAAGCACATTAATTTGGGAGAAACCTGGTTGTCTACAGGAGATGGTGGATGAAATAAAGAGATACTTGATGTGTTGATTTCCTTCTGTTTACATGCAGTAAGTATCGAACAAATGGTATAGATCTGTCCCTGATTTCCTTCTCCATCACCGTGATTGGCCTCCACTGGAGGTCTGGCCAGGTGTGGTGGCTCACGCCTGTAATCCCAGCACTTTGGGAGGCAAAGGTGGGAGGATCCCTTGAGCCCAAGAGTTTGAGACCACCTTGGACAATATAGTGAGATCCCATCTCCTTTTTAAAAAAATCAGTGGCTGGGCGCAGTGGCTCAGGTCTGTAATCCCAGCACTTTGGGAGGCCGAGGTGGGCAGATCATGAGGTCAAGAGATTGAGACCATCCCGGCCAACATGGTGAAACCCCATCTCTATTGAAAATACAAAAATTGGCCGGGCGCGGTGGCTCAAGCCTGTAATCCCAGCACTTTGGGAGGCCGAGGCGGGTGGATCACGAGGTCAAGAGATCGAGACCATCCTGGTCAACACGGTGAAACCCCATCTCTACTAAAAATACAAAAAATTAGCTGGGCATGGTGGCGCATGCCTGTAATCCCAGCTACTCAGGAGGCTGAGGCAGGAGAATTGCTTGAACCTGGGAGGCGGAGGTTGCAGTGAGCCGAGATTGTGCCACTGCACTCCAGCCTGGTGCCTGAGTAAGACTCTGTCTCAAAAAAAAAAAAAAAATTAGTTAAAGAATAAATAGGCTGGGCGTGGTGTCTCATGCCTGTAATCCCAGCACTTTGGGAGACCGAGGCAGGTGGATCACCTGACGTCAGGTGTTCAAGACCAGCCTGACCAATATGGTGAAACCCCATCTCTACTAAAAATACAAAAATTAGCTAGGCGTGGTGGCACACGCTTGTAATCCTAGCTACTTGGGAGGCTGAGACAGGAGAATTGCTTGAACCTGGGAGGCAGAGGTTGCAGTAAGCCGAGGTTGTGCCATTGCACTCCAGCCTGGGCAGCAGAGCAAGACTCCGTCTCAAAAAAAAAAAAAAAGTAAGTAAATAAATAATAAAATCTTAAGTTCTAAGGCCATTTGTATTGTCAATAATGGGTCTTGCCCTTTCTAGGTTCTTTTAACCACTGATGTACTATTCTTCAAGGGGGTTAAGTGTTTTATTTTATTTTTTTGAGATGGAGTCTCACTCTGTTGCCAAGCACCAGGCTGGAGTGCAGTGGCACAATCTCGGCTCACTGCAACCTCCGCCTCCCAGGTTCAAGTGATTCTCCTGCCTCAGCCTCCCCAGTAGCTGGGACCACAGGCGCCTGCCACCACACCTGGCTAATTTTTGTATTGTTAGTAGAGTTGGGGTTTCACTATGTTGGCCAAGCTGGTCTCAAACTCCGGACTTTGTGATCTGCTTGCCTCAGCCTCCCAAAGTGCTGGGATTACAGGCGTGAGCCACCATGCCCAGCCAGAGTGTTTTCATTTTTGTTGTTGTTGTTGTTCTACACCCCCTGCTTCTTTTATTTTTATTTTTTGAGATTGGCTCTCACTCTGTCCCCCAGGCTAGAGTGCAGTGGTGTGATCACGGCTTACTGAAGCATTGACTTCCTGGGCTTTCGTGATTCTCCCACCTTAGCCTCCTGAGTAGCCGAGACTGCAGGCATGTGCCACCACCTCCAGCTAACTTTTCTATTTTTTCGTAGAGATGGGGTTTCGCTATCTTGCTCAGCTGGCAGGCTGGCATCAAACTCCTGAGCTCAAGAGATCCACCTGCCTTGGGCCCCCAAAGTGCTGGCATTAGAGACATGAGCTACCATGCCCTGCCCTAAATAGATGTTTTAATTACCCTTGTCAAGTCCTCTTGTGAAATCTTCATCTGCAGTGACTTGGCAAATGTGTTTGCCACCACACAGAATAAACTGTACAGACAACAATTTGACATTTCTGTATTAGTACAGTGTAAGAATGAATTTTGATCTGAGGTCCCTAAGATGCAGGTATTTGTCTTACCTCCCTGCAGCACCGCCACGGCTATGGGGAAGGTCTCCCTCCTCCCTCTGAACTTTTTTTTTTTTTTTTTTTTCCCATTTATTTATTTTATTGCATTTTAGGCTTTGGGGTACATGTGAACAACATGCAAAATTGTTGCATAGGTACACACGTGGCAGTGTGATTTGCTGCCTTCCTCCCCATCT